GGAATGAGACTGTAGAGTGACATAGGCTACTTTTTCCTCGGAAAAACATCTCATTTCCGTGGGAAAATAGATTATTTCCCACGGGAACGGGAATGAGATATTTTTCCGCGGAAAAAAGTAGCCTATGTCACTCTACAGCCACCGAACGATCCCCTACCAAAATTCATGCCATGCCGACGCTCTGTTGCGACGTCAAAGAAGGACAAACATTTGCAACATATTCTATTTTCCCACGGGAATGAGATGTTTTTCCGCGGAAAAATGTAACCTTATTCACTCTACAGCCAGCGAACTATCCCCGTACAAAAAATCATGCTATGCCGACGCTCTGTTGCGATATGAAAGAAGGACAAACAAACAAACAAACACACTTTCGCATTTGTAATATAAGTATGGATGAAAGAAGCAATAGAAAATTATAATGCCATCAAAAACATAGCTTGTAAAAAATACCAAATCTCGCAACTCAGTTCTTCCATTGTAAAAAGTTGTGAGATCCATGTAATACCAAGTCGGTTAAAAGTATCTTATTAGTAATGATTATAGCTAACCTAAAACATTTTGTAGTGACCATATCAGTGTTAAATGTCTTTTATATTTCTAATAAATAGATCAACTTGGCCATCGCATGAAAACACAATGTATCTCACAAGTAATACGTATCATATTAAATTAGATTTCTTAGTGCGATTGCCAAGTCAATCTATATATTTAAAACATAAAAGATTTTTAACATTGATATGGTAACTATAAGATGTTGTTAGGTTTGCTAATTACGTAATAACTTAAAACAGAAGACCCCTAAGTAGGGACTGAATAAATTAACAGACTTGGTATTACATGGACCTCCCAATACAATGAGAATTTACATAATTTAATAAATTGATTCTCATCATTAGTACATGAAAATCGCTGTTTAAAGGCAAATATTTAAAAAAAAAATGATTTATTGTAAGCTGCTTTTAGATTTGGTAAGCCAGCAATCCATTATTCTACGTCAGAGACATGATAAAGGATGGGTCCCTAAAATGCTTTGCTCACGGCATGGAAAAATTACGAATTTTACGATCATTATTTTTATTAGAACATTTTTTTTTATTTCTCCTTACGGGTTAGGAAAGACCGCGAAAGTAAGTAACTCGTAACTCGTAAGTCACTTCTCTTATAATACGGTAGGAACCCGTTTGCTATTTTTTTTTCTTTTTTTCAAATGTCCCTTTTACAATATAACTAGGAAATCGTATAATTTTATAAATATTTTTTGTTGAATACTGCAAACGCAACTGAGCATTGGAAGAAACATTCTATGACCGAGTCCGCAATAAATCCAGATCTTGATGATTGCTATTTTTGGCGCATAATGACCCGATCATGCTATATGTAAAAAATACGAGATTTAAAGGCGATTTTGTAGCGTCCTTATATAAGCAGACTGTTATACAGATACACTGATATTTTAAGAACTTGGATGGTATAGATGTATTTTTGGCATGCTTATTCTATAAATATACGCCGTATCTGTTACAGCTCTTATCAGTCAAAAATTGTATCAAAATATGTTCTTACTACTGACCACGATATGTGAACAGTAGTAAGGACATATTTTGATACTTTATCCCGATATCCCGAGTAGCGTTTCATCTATCGGATAGTCGGTTTAAAAAGCGAGTGGTCGTGACAAGTTTGTATGTAAAAGCTGTTTCTAAAAACTTCTAGTTCTAACCAATACCGCTTTCAACCGTTTCTTTTTTGTGAAAACCTCCGCGTATATTTAACACACAGTATCATCCGTCTTAGAAATTACTTGCTAAGCCCAAAGATAGTAAAAGAGGTAACAGCTAAACTAATTACGCAATTTGTTGAAAGCTATCGGCTAAGCGGTATACTATAGCTTTTTTATATAGAAGAGTGGGCAAACGAGCATGCGGCTCACCTGATGTTAAGTGACTACCGTCGCTCATGGACAACCGCAACACCAAAGGAATTGCAGGTGCGTTGCCGGCCCTTTAGAAACGAGTAAAATCTTTTTTTCAAGGTCCCTAGGTCGTATCGGTCCGGAAAAATGGCCGGTAGTAAACTATTCTACAGTGAGGTCGTACGCGGAGGAAAACTCCTTCTGAAACGTACAGTGGTGGACAGCCAAGCATCCAGATGGTATGGATGGTATCGGGACGTTTGCCACGTAGTGCGTTCACGAAATTTGGCGGCTGGGATTATTCCGAACAATTCCGTGGAGTTTGCGCCTCGTGGCATATGCGCGTAAGAAAATGCAAAGAGATGCAACATCTCTTCGTAGCGCCAGTGAATTGAGCCGACCGGAAAGCAATCGGTCGTCGACAATTCAAGCCGCTCTGCGCTGGATGCGGTCAAGTGGAAGGAGCTGGCACTGGGGAACTCCAGCCCAGAGATGGGAACAGTATTCCATGTGCAGCCAAACTTGCGCCTTGTAAAGTTGCAGGCAGTGTGCCGCCATGAAATACTGTCCCGCTCTGCTGAGCACGCCAAGCTTTTTGAGGCCAGTTTGGCTTTCTCTTCCAAATGACCACGAAACTGCACGTCACTCGATATGTCGACACCGAGGATTCCGATACTGGCTGAGGCAACAAGGGCCTTGAAACTGAGGAGATACGACAAAGGGGTTCTTTTTAGCGATTAACGCGCAAACTTGTGTCTTCTTAGGGCTAAACTGGACTAGATTTAGTGGCCCCCAATCCGAGACGTTGTTCAGCAAATACTCGACTTCAGACACAAGTTTGTCCCGTATTCGGAGACGTTTTCCCGAGAAATATTGGCAAGGCCGGTGTACAGAGCCTCACCAGTGCTGTCATCTGCATAACAATGAATGTTACGGGCTTGCAACATATCATAGATATACAGAAGAAACAGCGTTGGCGATAGCACGCAGCATTGTGGAACATCAGCATTAATAGGCTTGTAATTGGAGCTTGCACCGTCTACAACGACCTTGATGCTCCGATCTGCAAGAAATCTGGTGATCCAATCGCACAATTTCTCGGGAAGCCCATAGGAAGGGAGCTTCGAAAGAAGCGCTTTGTGCCGAACCCGATCGAAGGCCTTCGCAATGTCCAAACTAACGGCCAATGCCTCTCTCTTGGACTCAACTGCCTCCGCCTATGAGCTATGTAGACCGAAGATCACCAGCTGATCGACCGCTCAAGCAGCGATCAAAATAAATTGTACTGGTCTTTAATGTAATGGTTTTGTTAGATCTAAATAGATTCTTGAATACAACAAACATAAGAATCACAATAAAACAGACACCGGTCAGAGCTAAACTCTAGCAATTACGAGGGATGACGTGAATGAACTAAAAGCGAGACAGTGTGAAAACGCAGTTGCTTAAATAAAGAGGAGGAAGCTAATATTACTATAATCAAGAGAGATACTAGCATCATTAGAATTGATGGAAAAAATAAAAGATTTTATGAAAAATTTGTATTGCTTATATGCAGACAGTTATGCAGATTTACTGACATTATAACGAGATGTATGGTATAGTCGTATTTTCGTCACGATATGTCTAGCGATGCAATATTGTTTGCAATGGACGTTTATACTAAGGTATAACTATTCGATATATACGATATATCTAATACAGATACTTCAAAATGGTCAAATGAGGACCCAGCTTTAAAAATTTAATGACCGAAACGTTTTGATAATTAAAAGTGAAATATAGAGAGAGAGAAACAAACAACATCCTCTTTACTTTCTACATAAATCAAGAGAATGTGAGTCAAATATCAAAACTTTTTGATTTATCATAATCTGAAATTTCAAAGCGAGGGAAAAACGAGGGGCGCATTATTTTATGTCACGGACATTGTAAGGGAATAGTAAAAAAAATATTTAAATGCATAATATAAAACGGCCGCTGGTCTTCGTCGTCCTTATACTTTTAGGTCTACTATTGGACATACATATTTACAAAAATGCACCAAAAGTAGTAATTTTTGGATAGTTGGTAGAATATGATCATTAGAATGTAAGGCACCGCCTAATAATATTATGTCCTTACATATGAAATTGTCGTTTTGTACGGGAGGAATACTAAGTCATTTTTTTTGTAAAATATATTTAATTATTGGATATTATATTGCACCTTTGAAGCTGCTTCCCGCTATCGTTGCAGATATTTTACATCTTGCTTTTTGATCGGAAATCATTCTGATTATCTAACAATTCCCACAGTTATATGTTACGACACCAGCACAACGAAATTGGTCTATAATTATCTATGCTGCGCCGCTACTACACCGTCAAATGTTGCTTTTGAATCCAATGAATACAACTATAAAAAAAATTATAAAACTTGTTTTATAATTTTTATTTTATTGTTGGTAGGGGTAAGAAAATTTTCAGCACTCCATGGTCTATGTTTAATTTATGCTTAATGAAGAAAATTCTTATAAAAGCGAACTAATACCTGAAATAATTTGCACGTTTAACCTGACATACAAGAGTGGACAAACGATTTTGCGCTTTAAACTGATAGTAAGTTATCAGTATTTGAAATATGATCAATTTAGGTCGGAAAGTTAAGCATAAATTAGGTAAAGATTAGCTCTCAATTAAAACAAAATACCAGAGTTCGTCAACGGGCGCATTTGGCTAGCTGATAGCTTTCATACATATATATGTTAACGGCCAAACCCGAATTTAAGATAAACTAGTTTTTCCTAGGCCAAACTAGTTCATCCTAGATGCGTTACAGACTAGGCCAAACTGGTCCGGGCTATAGCCGATAGGACAAACTAGTTTAGCCTAGGCTGAAATTGTTGAGTCTAACATGAATAAGAACACTTCAGGATAAACCGGTATGGCCTAATCTATACTAACAGGGAATAACAAAATACCAGGAGTAATAAAATCAAGGTGCATTTTTTAATCAGATCAAAGTCAATTTTACTTATTTTTGCATAATGTACTCTGATGGCACTTGGAATTGGACAGTACCATCTTTTTTCTTGCATCTATATCTATTTTTCAAACAGTTCCTTACATTTAATTATATTATTAACGTGGGCTTTAACAACCCAGTGAGTAAAAAACCTGCGCCTGCAATATAATTTTTGCAATACACCATATTTGGTGCCAAATTTGTAAAGGCCCTTATCATTTCTCTGAAAAATAACCCCAATGATGTTTCTGAGGTCACCTCCTCCTTTGTCTACGTCTGGAATTGGTATAGTAATATTGTCTCCAATTTTGGCGGGTGGATAGGATTTGTCCGAAGAAGCTTTCATTTTTTTAGCTTGCTTTTCAAGATTTTCCGCCGCCGTCTTTCTAGCAACTTGAATGTTTTGTGTGTCCATTTTCACAACGCCGCCATCATTATCTGCTCCATTCGAATCATCTTCGATAATTTTAAGGTCATCTTCATCCCGAATATCATTTATTATTTCTTGCGGCAAAGATGAAGACGAAAGTTCTACTCTAGGCTCAATTCCAAATAAGGCCCTGTAAGTCGATTGTTTTATTCCAGAATGAATAACGCGGTTTTTCATGAACTGTACATATCTTAAGCCTTCCGACCATTTTGTTAAATCGTTGTCCTTCAAACAAGAACTTATCATGTTCTCTATATCTTGATTAGCGCGTTCAACCGAACTCTGACTTTGACTGTGCCTAGGTTGTCCGTGCACAGTTTTAAGTTCTGGCCAAAGATTCGCGAGCTCACTTATCACAATATTAACAAATTCTCTACCATTTTCAGATTAGAGAATACAAGGCACACCTATTGTTAAAAATATATATCATTCAGATGATAGGCCACTTCTGCAGCTCTCTTCGACGTTAACGCACGCAGAAGAACAAATTTTGTTAGATGTTCTTGGTAAGACATAATAAATTTAAATTGTCCATCTGGTTGTGTCTGAAAATCAATCAAATCCACTTGGCATCTGCTATCCATTTCAAATTGAAGTATCGGCTTTAAAACTAGTCTTCTCTTCTTTTTTGATTTCTTTTGTTGACACACGTCACACATTGATAAATAGACGTTTATTATTTCTTTTGTGATCTTAGCATATTTTTTTGATGTCTCGGCTAACATCCTGTCACGTCCACCATGCTCAACCGCCACATGTGCTGCATCGTAGTGTATTTCATATTCCCATCTATTAATTTTTTTACATCTCTGATTTTTAGCACACCAAATCGTTTCAGTCGTCTTTGTGGAACACCATTACAAGTATTCTTTTTTCTGACTTTTCAGCGTCTTCCACTTGTTCAACCAGTTCGGTATATTTATCTGAAGGCAACTCATTATAATGAGAAGACTTTCGATATTCACTTTCCAAAATTTCTGTTAACCTCTCAACCCCCAGGGATCTCATGAGACCGCGGCCATATTCCATCAAATCCATAGCGGTCTCATGAGGTCGCACCCACCTACAGCACATTAACCCATAAAAAGATATTATATATAGAGACCTTTTGTTGGCATAATATAATCAAAATGAAATACTATACTATCCTCTAGTGCAATAAAAAACTGTTATCCTAAGAATATTGATTTACAATCTACTTTCATTTCGTACGCCATTTATATATAGAGACCACTTTTATATGAAGAAATTTGGCATAATATAATCAAAATGAAATACTATACTATCCTCTAGTGCAATAAAAAACTGTTATCTTAAGAATATTGATTTACAATCTACTTTCATTTCGTACGCCATTTTCGCGTAAATGTTATTGTGTGGATTTTTAGATTTTTTGTGTTTTTTTTTTGGTGTTTTAGTATAGTGTTTTATTGTGAAATTGTACAGAAAGTTTTTTTTATGAATATAATTTATCTTTTTACGTAAATAATTTCGAGTAATATATACTGAAATAATTGTGATTTTCACGTTGCCGACATTCGCTTGGTATGTATTTTTTTTGTTATCAAAATACAATAAAATCTTTTTGTAATGAAGTAAAACCTGACTTTTGTTAAGACCATAAGATAGAGAATTTTTTATAGATTTTATAATGCCAAACTTCTTCATGGAAAAAAGGTCTCCAAATATAAGTTTTAATGGTTTTAAGTACTGTGGGTGGGTGCGGTCGCGTGCGAACGCTCGGGATTTGCTAGGCACATGCAACTGCATGGGATTTTTATGGCACTTGAAGATTTAAAAACTTTCCTATCCACTTTCACTTTCACCAGCTGATTAAACAGCTTGTCTACTAGACGTGGAAGGCTCATCCATGATTCTGCAAAACAAAACTGTATTACGCTTTAAAAATATTATTTTACTATTGTTTATATTTCCAAAACACAAGTACTAACAACACGTCCGCAATTTCAAGCTGAATGAGCGTTTAAAATCAAAAAACAGAATAGCGGGCGACGCGCGGGGCGTGAAAAATACGATCAGGGGATTTCCTCGATGCTGATGTCTCGACACGAACCCGCTTAAACATAATTGTCTAGGAAAAACAAGTTTATCCTAAAGTGTGCTTATTGATATTAGGCTTAACCAGTTCAGCCTAGGTTAAACTAGTTTGTCCTATCGGCTATAGGATGGATCAGTTTGGCCTAGTCTGTACCGATTTCTCCTAACGCATATAGGATGAACTAGTTTGGCATAGGAAAAACTAGTTTATACTAAAATCGGGTTTGGTCTGTAACATATACATACATAAAAACTCACTATTGCCAGTCAGAGGGGTAGGCAGAGACTTAAGATTACATCCATATATCATACACGCATACACGCTCGTCGGTTAAGGTTACTCCTATTTTGTATTTTTTCCCCATTTTCAATATATCGCTAATTTGGTCAATAAACCCTTGTATAGGTTTATTGACCAAATTAGCGATATATTCCCAACTTTACCGTTAACATATGCAATATAAATTTGCTTTGTCACTCTTTTCTTGTTGAGTTTTCTACATGACCAAACGACCGAAGCATTATTTTCTTAATCGTGGTCATAACATCATCTTGCAAACCACACTTTTCTCATATTACACAATTTCTCAACCTGTCGTTCAGATTCCGCTCTAGCATACTCTTTAGTGACCGCATTTTTACAGAATTTATTCTACTCTCGTTCTTCTTCTGCCACACCTAACTTTCACTACCTTGCAATAGAGTATAGACCAACACAGCGTTATAAATTGCCATACGTACCTTTTATGACACATTCTGACTTTTCATAATAGATTGTATAGCCCCATTTACTCTATTTCCTTCGTTCATCATCATATCTTTATCATACTTCCATATCCTTATCATATCTAGGTACCATCCCAGATAAATACACATCCCAAATACACGAACTCATGCACTTGCTGAATCAACTCCTTTTCTATTATTCTTATTTCACATAACGTTTTACTTTCTTCTCTCTCAAAAACCATTGCTTTCGTTTACTTTCATTCCTCTTTCTTTCAATGATCAGGTCATTTATGTAACCATCATTTGTATCTCCGTTGCCGATGACACAAATATGACTTCATCATCGGCGTGCAAAAGGCATTTGACGGTTAACTCATCCATTTTGATTCCAAACTCTTTATCTTTAAATTTTTAATTTTTTATGGAATAAGGGTGATAAACCAACACACATTCCACCTTATGGTAAGTGGATGCTGTGGCCTTTACATCTATCCTTGATTAAGAATCAAAACGCATATGCGTTGTCACTTCTGAGGACGAAGGTGGAATGCCTCGTTTCCAGTTCACTTTTTTACTGGAAACGAGGCATTCCACCTTATCTCTACACACACCATACGAAACACAGCAGTATTAAGCTGCTATTTTAAGCTGGTATTCTGTGAGAGCGTGGTCCTTTCCCAGTTGAGCCAACCCATTCGTGCTACGACCATAATATAGCTGTAGCGTAGCTTTACCACGTGTAAACAAATGCCCATACATAGTTTGAACAGCCACGGGGAAGCTACAGAGCCCCGTTTGGATGCCAATCTAGTCCGAGTAGACCCTATTGATCGTAACACAAGCACTAGAGTACCTTTAAAGAGACCTTAATGCCTGTACCTAATGTCTGTATTAGCGCTCAACCCAAATGAGTTCAGTGTTTGCCATAATAACTACCTGCCACTATGTCATAAGCCTTTTTCAAGTCCACGAACATAAAAAGCTTTCTGGTTTATGACCAAAAACTTCTCCTCGATCATGGAAAATATTTGATCTGTACACCCCATTCTCTTTTCAAATCCAGCTTCCACATCCCAAATTGTAGCATGCTGATACCACGGTAGTTCTTACAGTCCTGTTGTGACCCTTTCCTCATATAATGGGACTATAACTTATTTACACCAGTCTTCCTGTGCGTGTTTAGTTCCTAATATAAATTAAATTTATTAACATTAATCAGCTTTCATAATCATTTTGTAACGTACACCAAAATAATAGCAATAAATAACACTGTATGCGTCGTATTGTCTAAATATTATGTTATATAACAGACCAACTGTAACACATATCATGTCACAAAGGACCGGCGCCTTAAGTTATACCTCTTAATGATGACCATTAACATGTCACGCCTTTGCGTTTCTAACAATCACGCTTTATTATATTTAGATTCCTTGTTATCTCGATTTTCATAGAAGACTACTTAAGAATTTGGGTATTACGTTTCCTACATCTGTTAAAATAGGGAATGAATTATTTACCTACTATTAGATTTTATTTCTTACTTTTCCGAAAAATACCGAATTAGTTTGGTCTATAACTAAGAAATTGCCATTTTTTATAAAATAAGTATTTTTTTTCATTATTTTTTATTTCTATTAATCAAAGTAATCACCCATGCATTTGACATATCTTTTTCAACGCAGTGGTATTTTATTGATGCTCTTCTTAAAGAAATCAGCTGGACGGGAGGCAACAAATTTTTCAGAGGCTTCAAAGTATTTAAATAATTTATTTAAAAGTATTATCCAAACCAATGTAACATACAGACGTGTTTATAGGGAACCGTGGTGCTTAAAATACTAATAATTTTTAATTTAAAAATAGCACTATAAAAAGCATACGAATCTAATAGGCGAGCATAAAAAATCCTAAGTTAATAGTGTCAGAAGAATAACATAATAATTTATGCCCGTGAACCCTGCTACGTAAGTAATTAGCGAATATATTTGCCCGCTGTGACATAACGCCGCCTATACATACTAACTGAAATAAGTTTTACGCACACGCTGCATTGGTGTATCGCCCACCACGCCACTAATGTGTTCGCCCAAACTGTGACTGCGTACGCGCAAAAGGTGGTGTACGTTATACTACACCGATCACAAGTGGCAGGGCATCAGAAGCACACATAAAAGTATACGTATTCGCTGAACCAACTTTGTACTATTACATATTCATAATAATCTTTAAAAAACCCTTAAACTCCTGCTTTATTAACATGCCACTTAGGCTTCACCACATGTAGCATCCTTGACGGAACCCAGGGAATCACCATATCGTGGCGGCTCGGAACCAAAAAACTCTACCTATAAGAATGATTCTGATCTAGGAGATTTTTCCACTAACATAAGTACGCGTGCAACCAAACGAAAACAATATCAAGACTTCAAATATGAGCTACAGGCATTTAACGTTGA